TCTTGACAGACTTTGATCAATGCAGAGGCTGTTTTTGATCTGCCATAGCAACAGCACTGCCCACGAATAGCTCCGAGTCTATATAAAGAGAGACTCCAGTAAAACACAGCTTTAAGATTGATGTAATTACAAACATCCCTCTTTCTCTCTCTCTCTCTCTCTCTCACACACACACACACACACACACACAGTCACTACATAACCAGAGGAAAAATCATCAGCAGAACCGCTATTTACTATGTTTAATCTTACCGGCAGCTCAGCGGTTTGTTATAGGAAACATAATGGTCACTCACTGTTACCATGGAGAGCACACAGGAAAAGATGTTTGCCATGTTTTGAGATGTGCTCTTAAAAATGTATATTTTAGATTTATTATTTGTGTTTGTTTGAATAGTGCAGGCAGAGTGCAAACAGAACTGCTGGTACCATGGTTCAGTGACTCACATTTTCTTTTTTTTATTGTAGTGGTGAAAATGTAATTTGGGGACAAAAGCTCAGGTGAAAGTTCACACAGTCATATTATAAGAGCAGGTATATGGTGCAGAGACTGAATCGAGTCCAGGCCTGTTTTACTGGCACAGAGCTCATATGCGGAGAGATCCATTTATTCCCCATGACCGCAGCTGTGGACAACAAATCATTCGTGAGCCAAATTAGCAAGCGAGTTAAGGGCACCTTCAGAGAGGTGTGGTCTAGACAGAATATAGCTGTGCTAAAACACTTGCTTCATTATGGATTCTTTTAGTCTGGTTCCTCCGCCTATGATCTACACATCTCTTGTTTGGCAGATTAAACAGCAGGTTGCTTCCGCTGGTTTCAGTTGTTTCTGCTTCCGTATGAATGTTCCGGATATCTGATGGGGTTTTGAGGAACTAGGGTGCGTCTGATTCATTCACAGGATGAGGAGACAGAGACCCACTCAGTTCCCTTTGAGCACTAAAAATACAGACTGGAGCGGCCCTCACGGCAGCGCCATCTGCCCTGGCAGACGTCCAGGGACATACACATGCACAAGCACACAGTTTCCCAGGGCGAAGGATGCAAGAGCAATAGCAGCATCATATGATTAAGCTAGTGTGACTTAGAAAGTCACATCAAAGAACAGGACTGCAACCAAATCCAATTTTCACCACACTTTTTTTCAGCACCCTTGGTTCCCGAAGTATTTTTCCCTATTTCTTTTTTCCCAGAGACAAAAACTACTGATTTAAATATGTTATATATAGAAACATATATATTTTTTTACATTTATTGTAATATCTGCATTTATGCATAGTAGTTTTAGAGCATTAGGAGACTAACTATTACATCACGTGCTTTATGGGAGTAGGAGCATTTGGTTTGCTTGTGGCATTTCACTGATTGGTAGAGATTTCTCTGCAGAGTCATGATGGATAATGTAGTTTTTCATCAGGAATTTCGCTGTTGAACATCATTTAAAAAGTAAGTCACAATAATGCGGCTTGACGGCTTCAACAAAAGCATATACCATCGATTAATAGCTCATATCAATATCTCATAGCTCATAATACATCTGTCTATAAAGGTTTATAAGTTATAGGTCAAAATCAATTCCCTTATGAAGAAAATGAATGGGATTTTTACTTCCTGTACCTGACTGCTGCACTCTATAAAAGTAGAGTTTCTATTGTGTTTGACTTTTATATTGCATAAAAAATTTCCATGACACTCTTAAATATATTTTAACATTTACTGTACATGCAAAGTGTAATAAACGGTTGTGTAATCAACAATTTTATGTCCAATAGCGTTCTGACTCACTACATACTCAGAATTCTGTACTTTACCATCACTGATAAATTATGTACTTATTGGTCAGTTCACTTATAGGTCAATCTGAAATACATCAATACATTTTACTTCAATATTCTGACATATTTCAGAGTGAAATAGAATATTAAATGGGGAAAGGATTGACCTTATTTATCAGAATTGACTGGATTGTCAAAATGGGTTTTATGTAGCAGAATGGAGGTGGTTTGGAGGTCGAGGGACTGAAAGAGACATTCGTCACATGAGCAGCAGAGATGTTTTAAATGTGTATCAAGTTTTGATTTTGATGATTACAAAGACAAATATCCAAGGAATGTGTAATAATAAAATAAATTGGGTCAATTCTGCTTTCAGTGTAAATATTGCGTCAATATCAAATCAATTTGAGCGCAATTTAAACCCGGATGATTGTAACCACTCTAAGTTCGTCTGTCTTGGGAAAGCTAGCGTGTCTTCGACAAAGTGATAACACTCGTTGCCTTCTCTGTTGCAGCTCAACCAGGTCTCGTCCCATTCGTCGATATTTGTGATATCACAAATCCCAGAAAATATGCGTTGTAGTCCAAACGAGTCGTTCGTTGTAGTTTTTGAAAAGTGATTTCTGTTAAATAAAATATCTCCTTTTGAAGTGGACTTTGAGCTTTGTAACTTTGCGGATCTTTTTTATGCTCAAACAGCAACATTACAGACTAACTAAAATTGAAAAAGTGAAAAAGCATAATAGGACCCCTTTAAATAGATTTATGTTTCTACCAATGCCAATTCGATTTTGTAATTCCACTTTGGCACACATAGATTCCATCTTTCTGTCCATACTGCCATCACTCTCGATTTTTCCACTATTGGTTTTCTTTTCAAACACTGTTCCCCTCTTTAAAATAACTGGTGTGTAAAGACAGATGTGCCGTTTGCTTTAAACTAATGGAGTTTCGTAATCAACTAACCAACAGAATAATGATGCTCATTTACAAACAAAAGCCTGCCGCCTGTGTTTTTACCATGCAATGAGATGCGACTCGCCTATAAAGACGAGAGCTGAGCTGAGTCTTGGTTAAATGTATGGTGCATGTTGAATTCTGGAATGGTTGGGGGTCTTCAACACATGTGCCCCATTTAGAATCCCCTCAAAGAGCTTTAATGGGTTCCAGATTCATCTGTGCTTGCTGTGCTCACTGTGGCCCTTGTGTCTTTTCTGGTCTGAGCATGCTCAGTGCGCACCGACAGCGGCTTGAACCTCAGAGTCCTTGGGCTCCAGTTGCCCATTCTGCCTCCCGTGTGCGCCATGAATTTTCCAACAAAAACAGACCTGATGATCGTAAAGCTGTAGGAAATATTCCCAGCTAATTCCATATATTCTCTCTCTGGCCCTTGCAGAACGCTATTGAGCACTGATATAAACCAAATCGGAGTTACAGGCTTCAGATAGATGTAGCTTCATTAAAATTCATCTCAATTTGCTGGGTTCTATCTGCTTTATATGCTATCTAAAGGTCTCAGATCTGTGTGGACAGTCTTTTGCAGGCTCAGATTTAAATGTTATAACCTTTTCAGCATTATAGATTATTATATGAAAGATCATATGAGCTTCAGCGTTTTGCTCTGCCTCCTGTTGTTTTTGGCTCTTTCTGCAAGATTTATGTGTTTGTTTTTGGAGTGCATCGACTGAATGTATATAGGGGGTATCTGTGAGAACCCTTTGCTGAACTGTGAAGATCTCTGGCGCTTTTGATGCATTGTTCACTCAGAGTGCAAATGAGTGTTTCAATTACTCTAAAGTTGGTCTTTGTACATAAAATAGATATTTTGGCACATGAAAATAGTTTACTCCCATAGTTTTTTGTGCATCCAGTTCACTTTATTTATGGTGAGTATTAAGTGCTATATATCTCTCAAAACATTTTATTTCCTTAATGCATGAATACAGAGGAACAAATAGAGACACAACTTGGCTGGATGCCACTGACTTAGGAGCTAGTGCTTAGCGGTTAGCTAATGACAGTAAATTTTGCTGAATGATTTCAGATGCTACTCTATTATGTATATTTAACAGGATAAAGAAGTCATTTACTCAAAAATATGTCATTATTTACTTACCCTCATGTCATTCCAAACCCAGGCTTTCTTATGTGGAATAAGAAATTTTGAAGAATGTATTGATATGTTTCCATGCAATTACAATTAAAGGGTACAAACTTTCAAGTTTCAAAAAAGATGGAAAAGAACCATGAAAGTAGTCCAGATGACTGTATTCCAAGTGTTCTGAAGTCATACGATAGCTTTGTGTGAGGAACAAATCGAAATCACTGTTTACTGGTAATCTTTGTCCGGATAATTTAGTGAGTTCAAGTAACCAGGTAAAAAGAGTGATTCACCTTGGATTCACCTCAGATCAAGTAAACTCAAGTATTGAATCACTCTGATACTACCATAAGTCTTTCAGACCTCTTTGTGAACCATATCAAATGATTCACTCAACAATGAGTAAATTATGAAAGAATTTTAATTTTTTGGGTGAACTGTTCCTTTAATTCATATGAATATACCATTGTGATATGTTTAACCTTAATTTACTATTGAAAATTTGGTCATTATTTGCCTAATATGTGACGTTTTTGTTGTAACAATAGTATCCTGTTGATGATCTCGGATAAGAGAATTACACGAGTCATAAATTGACTCCTGACCTCCTACCAAGACATTTGACCATAGTTCCTGTGAGAATGTTCCATTTCTGGATCCTTCCCAGAATTCCATGAAGGGGTTTCCCAATGAGTCTGGCCGTATAATGTTACCGTGGTGTAGACGCTGTTGATTTGGCCCCTGGAAACCCCTTCAGTGGAACGGGGATCTCCTTGACAAAAGGCCCAGGAGTGATGTGTGAATGATTTACTAAAGGAGTGAAAACAATAGAGGAACAAATCTAATTTGCAGTCCAAGGCAGGTGGCTACATTAGCATACAGTCAAACATTACTACACGAAGCTCTGGGAATCCTGCAGAAAATAAGTTATATAAACATTCTCATGGGGCTGAAGCCAGAACAGTGTCTTTTCTACACAACAGCTGACAAGACAGCTGGAAAAGTTTTAAATTCAAACTTCCATCTGCTGTATGTCTTCCCACTTCCACATTCACACGTTAATGGTGAACGTCATCATTAAAATATTTCGAATAAAAAAAAACTTTCTCCCTCTGTGTTTGCAGCTTCCTATTTCGGGGACAGCTACTGTCGAATAGATGCCATTCAGGATCTGGCAAGTTTTCAAGTGTCGCTCCAATTTAAAACAAGCAGACGTAGTGGCCTGCTCCTACTGGCGGCGGGACACAGAGATTACCTCTTGCTGGAGCTCTACAATGGCAAATTACAGGTGAAATACAGTACATTTTGGGTTCAGATCGTTTAGGGGTCAATTCATTAACTTTCGGATCACCAACAGCTACTCATGCCACCGTAAAGGGTTAGTTCACCCAAAAATGAAAGTTAGCTTGTGTTTTACTCACCCCAGAGGCATCCTAGGCAGTGTTGGGGAAAGTTACTTTTAAAAGTAATGCATTACAATATTGCGTTACTTCATAAAAAAGTAGCTAATTACATTGCTTAGTTACATTTTATGGAAAGTAATGCGTTACGTTACTTTTGCGTTACTTTTTAAATCTGGACAGGGCTTGCTTGTTTGTTTTTAAAATAAAAAAAAGTTCTGTTTTTGGCAAATATAAAAGCTCGAGGCATCCTAGGTGTATATGACTTTCTTCTTTCAGACGAATCCAGTCGGAGTTATATTAACAATTGTCCTGGCTATTCCAAGCTCTATCATTGCAGTCAGCGGGTGTTGCAGTTGAACAGTCCACAAGTCGTCAAATAAAGCTCGCGCATTCATAATAAAATGTGCCACAGATGGCTCCGGGGAATGAATAAAGGCCCCCTGTAGCAAATCCATGTGTTTTTTAAAGAAAAATATCCATATTTCAAACGTAATAAACACTTTCTCTCACTTCCGTTATCTTTCATCGGCGGAAGGCGTATGACGTATGCACAGCGCTCGCGCCTCTGAGGTATGCTAGTCTCGCGAGTTTGTTTATAGGAGCAAAGGAAGCAAAGTTTCCTTACTTTAGCAAAGGAAAACCAGTCTCCTCTTGGTTTATATCGAAATCCTCCGACATTTTTCTTTGCAATTCCTCGGTTTGTACTTTATTATTATCCGGCGTTTTGCTTTGTTCTCTCTCCGCATTCGTCACTAATCATGCAACGCCGAGGTGCTGCGTCATCCGCCGGAACTGCTTCAGTGTCTGACAGTCAGCGGAAGTGAGAGAAAAGTGTTCATTAAACAGCTTGAAAGATCAAAGACAATTTTTAATATAACCCTGACTGGATTCCTCTGAAAGAAGAAATTCATATACACCTAGGATGATTAGAGGGTGAGTTATTTGTGGGCTAATTTTCATTTTTGGGTGAACTAACCCTTTAACGCGAGCTTTCTTTGACGACTTGTGGACTGTTCAACTGCAACACCCGTTGACTGCAATGATAGAGCTTGGAATAGCCAGGACAATTTTTAATATAACTCCGACTGGATTCCTCTGAAAGAAGAAATTCATATACACCTAGGATGCTTCGAGGGTAAGTAAAACACAGTCTAATTTTCATTTGTCAAATCATCCTTTGACTTCTAGTTGCTTTTTTGCTGTAATTCACTGTCAGTGTGAACGCTCTTTAAGTGTTAAACTGCTTTGGATAAAATTGCCTTGTAAATGACTACTTGTACACTAAAGACAGAGATCAGATCTGGCAAAATCAGAAAGCACAGGGTTCAGATCAAAATATCTACTTTGTAATGTAATTTAAAATCCCAGACTGACTACACAAATAAATACAATCTCCACTATTTTCTCATGGCCCTTCAAGACTTCAGGGCCCCAGAATGAGCCACACACTGAGAAAGTCTCTTGTGAGTTTTTAAGAAGCAGCCCCTTGGTTTTTTATGAGAGGGATGACTCACATTCGCTTCCAGCTCCACTGTGACTGAATTGTCGCAGTTTCTCAGCTCAACACATGGAAAAAGCTTCCACGGCTTGAATGAGTTACTGGTTTGCTCTGAGTGTATTTCTTCTTCATCTGCAGCCTCCTTAGAAAATGGCTCCCGCTCCGCACAGATATACACACACGTTCAAACTGCCTGCATTATGCTGCAATATGAAACGGTACCAGGACTTTTTCATCAGTGGCAGGATTTGTCATTAAAAACTAATTTCCACCGACATATTCAATTCATTCAGATTTACTTTTTTCATCTTTGGAGGCTGCAGATCTGAAATGAGATCTGTGATATTTTCAGTTTAAGTGGCTACACAGTGTTTGAAATAGCCAACTGATCCAGCAAAGTCTGTATCAGAAATTCACAGTTGAATGCATGTATAATGCACTGTGAAAAATCATATTCTTAACCAGTACCTTTATCTTGTATACTAAAATAAGATTAATTAGTTATTAATTAATTAGTTATTAATTAATTAGTGTGCTTTTGGAGCAAGAAAACCCTAAAACCTTGAACAAGCTCCTTATACTAATAAGTATAAACCTTTAGCATGCAATTCATTTGACAAATTTGTGCTACAAACATGAATGTTACCTCAAATGATATCGCTAGAAACAAACCAGAGCATCTTAGCAACTGATTAGCAATGTTCTACAAAACACTCAGAACAGCTTAGAAACTGCACAACAATGCCCTGCTAACCACTCAAAACACCTTAATATCATGGCAGCAACTTTTTCACAGGCAAACAACACAAACATTTATTTTTTTTTTTTCAGAAAATGTAAAAAAATATATGATTTGCTTCTTGTATTTAACTGTCATTTTTGTTGTTTAATAATTTGTTTGTGCATGTACCTTTACAGTCTAGGATTGACATGGGATCTGGAGAAAAGGTTCTCTCCTCCAGCATGGGTCTCCAGCTCAGTAACCTTCTGGACCATCATGTGTCTCTCATTCTGAAAGACTCCAAACTTACTATGGCTGTGGACAACCTGTACACAACCTTCATTCCAGTGGAGGATGCAGATGAGGACCTGAACATCGACCAGGGCGTGTTCCTTGGAGGCGTGAGGGACCTGGAAGTGGAGTACCTGAGCACAGCTGTTCCCTCCCTGCGTGGCTGCATGAGCAATATTATGTTTGAGTCTCGTGACTTTGATATTCTGGCTTCAGCAGCTACAGTCTGCTATGACACCAAGGAGAGCTGCAGCAGTGAGTTTGAGGCAGGGGATGGAGACACCACAAGCTTTATCAGTCCAGAATCATTCATCTCTTTCCCTACCTGGACCAGACTTAGCACAGGCTCCCGTAGCCTGGAGATGCTAATGAAGACGACCATTGAGGATGCTCTGTTGCTCTTCCACCCAGGACATCAGGCAGACTTCATTGCAATCGGAATGGCAGGAGGGTTCCTAAAAGGTGTAATGGATCTGGGAAGTGGAATGTATGTGCTAGACAATGTGGAAGTGAAAGTGGATGACGATCAGTGGCACAGAGTTAAAGTTCAGATTGACCCCAATGAGTTCCAGATAAATGTGGACAGTCAAATGGTTTCACTCCCTCTTAATGAGACGGAAAAGCTGGATCTAGTAGGGAACCTGTACCTGGGAGGCATTCAAAGGAAGATGAAGGATGTGTTTCAAGATTATTTGACTCGTGTGGAGGAGGAGGTCACATCGGAGTCCTTTATTGGATGTTTAGGAGAAATCAAGGTGAATCAGAAGGGCAGAAGCCTGCAGGATGCTCTGATAACTAAAGACATTCATGTGAAATGTGAAGGAGAATATGATTACTCCACTTATGATGAGGATTTGGAGTTAACAACTACACCTCCAGTAAGAATCACATACATTAATGTCAATACTGATGAAAGACACTGTTTTCATACAGAGAACTTGCCAGAGATGTTCCGCAATATTTCCAAGCTCCTGGACATCAATCCTCTGCTGGTTCCGGAGGGAGGAGAGGCCTTCATCGACATTGTAAACCTAAACCCAACATTTAACCTAAAAGCTGCAGGTGTTCGTGAATCTGAGATCATCTTTACTCTGCTAAACAATCCCTGGTATGGACTGGTTGATATGAATTTAAGACACACAAGGGTACAGAAGTTTACCCTTCTGGATGTTGTCAACAAGAAAATCAAGTATCTTCATGATGGCAATGAAAAGTATGGAGATCTAATCCAGCTGGAGGTGACTGCACATGGAACGAATCTCCCAGAGTGCTTGAGTGCTGCACGCCAGTATGTGCTACCAGTGGAAATAATCCCAGTCAATGACATCCCTCAGCTCAGTGCAGGTGATATCTCAATCACAGCTAATGGTCGCACACGTTTGAGCCCAAACCTCATCAAAATCTCAGACTCGGACAATCGTTGTAATGAACTCAAGGTCACAGTCACATCGGACCCTACTGCTGCTGGATATCTGGAGAATGCTCAACAGCCAGGATTTGATCTAAGAGAGTTCACTTGTAGACAACTGAAAGAAGGAAATATCTACTATGTGCACAGGGGAGGAGAAGTGACGGAACTTACCCTGCAGGTCTCAGATGGAGATTTGGTTAGCCAGTCAAGCACATTTAAGTTGCTTATCACCCAGCCACAGATGACTTTAGTCACAAATACTGGCCTTCTGATCACCCAGGATGACAGCACCCCAATTGGAATACAAAATCTGGCCATTTCTGCAACTCCAACAACTGGAGACGTTGAGTATAATGTCACTCAGCCACTTCAGTTTGGAGAACTGCAGTTGATCTCAGACAATGGGGTACCAAAAAGAGTCACACTATTTCATCAGTCTGATCTGGAGCAGAACCGACTGAAATACGTTCCCAACCTCACAGCTGATCTCAAGGGGACAGAAACAGAGTTTATTCACTTCAATGCACAGCTTGGACAGGTCATCCTCCCAGACAACTTATTTATCATTAATATCATGCCTGCCCTTATAGGAATAGGTAAAAGGGTTCCTCTGGAAGTTGAAGGTGGGCAGCAAAAGGTCATTAAACCTGAACAACTACAAGATTTTGTGAGGGAAAGCAAAATTGATTCAAGATCAGTCCAGTACATGATTACAAAAAGCCCAGTCCAGGGAGTCTTGATGATGCTTGATAAAGAGTTGTCTGATGGTGATACCTTCACCCAACAAGACATTTTGAATGGTTTCATCAGTTACAGCCCTCGTGTCCATAGAGCAGTTGACTTTGAGGATCAGTTCCACTTAAAAGTATTCGCAGAGGATCAGTACTCCAGAGTATACACCTTTCCAGTTAAAATCAAGGCTCATTCTGATGCTCCTGTCCTAATCAATGAGAGACTTGTTGTGCTGGAAGGAAATGAAAACATCATAAATAAAGAATATCTCTGGGTACAAACCTCCACCTCAACAGACTTTGTGTACAGGATAGTACAAGATCCCAAACATGGTCGTCTTTTTAGAGACTCTCCACCAGGTATGCAAAGGTTTGATGGTGCAATTCAAGTCTTTAGCAATGAGGATCTCTCTTTGAACAGGATGGTCTACAAGCATGACGGATCAGAAACAAGTCATGACCAGTTTACCTTTCTGGCATTTGATTCAAGAGGTGGTAATGGTTGGCAAGATGAGGGTCATGAGGTACTGAGGGGAGTGTTTAACATTGCAATACAATCCAGGAATGACTACGTACCTCAAAGGGTAATCCACAAACCTTTTAATGTTGTCAGAAATGGCCATCGTTTATTGACCACTGATGACATTCTATTCAAAGATGATGACTCTGACTTTAATGACACCCAGCTGGTTTATGTGAGAGTGGGAATTCTTTCAGGAAATATTGTCTCTGCAGTAGATCCATCGCAACCGCTCTTCCGCTTTACCCAGGCTGACCTGAGGGACAGGAAGGTTCTGTTTGTCCACCATGGTGCAGACCATGAGCGATTCCAACTTCAAGTATCTGATGGTTTACATAAGACAACAGCTGTACTTCAAGTGCAAGCAGGTGACCCTTATCTACGTATAGCCAACAATACCATGGTGGTCATGGACCATGGTAGCACCAAGACACTGAACACCAGTCTGCTAAGTGCAGAGACCAACATGGACATTAGAAGTGCAGCTGAGATCATTTATGATGTGACTTCTCCTCCCAGTGATGGTAGGATTATAGTCAGTGGAACTGAATCTTCCAAATTTACACAAGAGGACCTGACTAAGGGTGTGGTCTCCTACGAACACAATGACCAGAGCCTTAGCTCGAAAGATTCCTTTGCCTTCACTGTGCAAGCGAAGGGTTGGTCCACGGAGGGCACTTTCAGGATTAAGATATTCAAGAAAGGTTACCTGCCACAGCCACTGGTTGTGTCGAACATGGTGATCCTTGCCTATGAAGGAGAGCATTCTGTTATTGACGCAAGTCACCTGGAGGTAAAACTACCTTTCTAAAATATATATTATTTAAATATTAATGATTTTTTTTTCATCCTGTTGGCATTTTCTGGAAATATTTTCCTTAATTACATATCTAAAAAAAATGTTCAACCTTAAAACGATGTAAATTGTTTGTAAAAACAGTTATTGTAGATGCACTACAGAACTCTAACCTCTCTATTGCCATTTGTGGTGCATACATAACATTGCAAATTTTGCTCAGTATCTAAATCATTACTGTAGGCTTACTGTAGTGAATTGGGATAAGGCAAGAACAGTTCTGAACACTGATTTTTTTCACTCGATAAAATTGTAATAATTTGTATCACAAAAAAGAACACTGTTACCAAATGAAGTGCAACAATTTAGACAAAAATGGTCTTACGAATGGATTTCTTCAAATTGTGTTTTAGGAAAGAGGCCATGAAAGTGTTATTTCATGTCAAGTCATACGTTCTTATCCAAAGGCATAAAAGACAGCACTGTCAAGTGCTGACAGCACTTAAACATATAGCAGAAATATAGCAAAAATATTCATATCACTTTACAAAGACTTCCAACAGTCCTTAATGATAATTTGTGTTCAACAGCTGTTGTATTAAGCCTATCGCAAGACATCTGGTAGGGGGGGGCACCTGGGGTGGCCAGCCAAATTTCAGGGGGTGCCGGTGCCACCCCTGGCCACCATGTAGACACGCCCTTGTTGTTGACGCTCCACTGAGTGTATTTTCAGTAATTACCCAAGTGTTGCAGTAGAGGAAACAGCCTCTGCTCAGATTCATTAGGACATTTGTGATACCTGACATTGATTTACATTTTGTATTACTTTTTCCTCTAAGCATTTCTGAGATTTATCACATGCTGAATAGGGGATTTTGCATAATCTCATTTTTGATAACAGCTCAAGATTTCTATAATGTATCATTCAGTACCATTAATAGATCAAAACATATTTAAGTATTTTCAAACTGTGTAAATATTACTCTAAGATTTCATTTGAAGGGATAGTTCAATCAACAATGAAATTCCTTTACTCATCATCATGTAGTGCGCATATAACATTTTTTCTTGTTAAATCTCTTGAATGTTATTTCCATTTACATACGTTCAAACATTGACATCAAACATGATATTTAAATGTATGCAAATACAAATTCTTCAACAGTTTGGATTTGGAATGGCATGACTGAGTAAATGAGGCTTTTTATTTTTAGGTGAACTTTTCTTAAATGCATTATGTGCCACCCCTGGCCACCATGTAGACACACCCTTGTTGTTGACGCTCCACTGAGTGTATTTTCAGTAATTACCCAAGTGTTGCAGTAGAGGAAACAGCCTCTGCTCAGATTCATTAGGACATTTGTGATAACTGACATTGATTTACATTTTGTATTACTTTTTCCTCTAAGCATTTCTGAGATTTATCACATGCTGAATAGGGGATTTTGCATAATCTCATTTTTGATAACAGCTCAAGATTTCTATAATGTATCATTCAGTACCATTAATAGATCAAAACATATTTATATGTATTTTCAAACTGTGTAAATATTACTCTAAGATTTCATTTGAAGGGATAGTTCAATCAACAATGAAATTCCTTTACTCATCATCATGTAGTGCGCATATAACATTTTTTCTTGTTAAATCTCTTGAATGTTATTTCCATTTACATACGTTCAAACATTATTGACATCAAACATGATATTTAAATGTATGCAAATACAAATTCTTCAACAGTTTGGATTTGGAATGGCATGACT